CAGGCAGCTGGATGGGCTTCACCTGTAGATTTGTTTCTCGCAGTTGTTGAAGAAACTGCTTATCCTGATGCTGTGTTGTGGCTAGTTCTTGAAGATCAATGGGTAATGCTCAAGGAGGGTATTGATTTCCGCTCGTGATAGGGCATCTGCTACGGTGTTGTTCACACCGGACAAATGTCGGAGGTAAATTGGGAGATATAATCTAGTTGTCTAGTTTCTCGTGGGGAAAGTCGATCAGAAGCAGAACGCAGTACATACGTTAGCGGCTTGTGATCGGTGAATATCGTGAATGTACGCCCTTCCAAGTAATGTCGGAAATGACGCACATTGAGATAAATAGCTAGGATTTCTCTGCTGAACGTACTATAACGTCGTTCGGCAGGCTGCAGTTTCTTAGAGAAAAAGGCAATTGGATACAATTCACCTCCCTGTCGCTGTTGGATCACACCACTTACTGCTGCATCTGAAGCGTCCACCGTTAACTGTAACGGAGCCTTAGGATCAAGATGCACGAGGAGAGTGGCAGTTGCTAGCTGATGTTTTAGATCACTGAATGCCCGCTTAGCTGATTCCGTGAAGCTGAATGATTTGGCATCTAATTTGAGTAGCTCGGTAAGTGGCTGGGCTAACTCAGAACAGTGTGGGATGAAACGTCTGTAGAAGTTAACCATGCCTACAAACCGACGTAACGCTGACCTTACAACATTGCGCTCAGTGAGCATGCGGCACCCAGAAACACACCGCGGTCCACACGCTCTCCACGCCCCTCCGGTGTCACTAGCCCAACTTCCATGCCAGCCGATTATCGACAACGGTATGTGTGAGCGACTTCATGTCATTATTCCCTAGGGCCAATTCATTCGCACTCATTCACATGGGTGCCTCACAGTATACGGAAAGCTCAGCGATGAAATGGGCGGACACACCGCGCAATCATATTTCACGTAGAAATGGAAATGCCTGAAAGGTTTGGTGCCAACCACCATGATCATTCGTGACTACTAAGCCCAGGTGGCAAAACGTGAGTTTTGCGAATATACCCCCTAGCATGTGTAGCCAATTATGCCTGAATACGAGTGTCGAGCGCGACTAGGCACCCACCCAATCGCACGCGATCTGCGCCACACCCAAGCTTTCTCTGGTAACTCATGTCGTAAACTCGTCTGATATGCTATTGATTGATTTGGGATTGGTCACTCAACGAGGGGTGCGCTTTGGTGCGTTTGCGCCAGGTGGATGATATTTGATTGCTTTAAGGATGATTCTGGAAGATGTATGGACGAAACGTATTTCCTTAAGGCTGAGTTTAAAAGCGTTATGGATGCATTTAACTTTTAATAGATGTAGAAACAGACTGCCTTTTTGGCATAGCTGGCTTGTAAGTGGTATGTCCCCGTAATTTTCTACAGTCTTGTCATAGGATTCCTCATTATCCGAATTACAATATTGTCATTTCCTGGTTCTGGAGCTAAGTAGCAGGATCTTTTTTTGCTTGGGATGGTATGTTCGCTTGTTACTATTGACGCCAGAATCGGTCCCGTTATCATATACAGAAATGCCACAGCGTGCAGTTTTTCTCGGCTGATTTACTGAGCGTTTCTCATATCCTGATGGATGGTGTTTAAACGTTATCGACTGTTGGGTACTCCCATGTAGGATTCTAGGAATGCAGCTCTCTGCGATGTCATCTGTTTGGGACCTGGGATAATTACTGGGATATTCAAATTTCCAGTGTTCCTAATTTCATACTTTGCAGTTTTTGTTTTTTATTGGTGCCACATAATCTACAGGCTGGTTACTTATGAAAGAGACATGATACGCGCTAATTTCTACGAGTCTTGTACTAGTGCTTACATTATGCCTTTGCCCGGTATTCTCTGGCGAGACCGGGTGAGCATTATCATGCATTGATAACTCGTGGGTGGGTTGGTGGACTCGGTGTTAGTGAGTATCTTTAAATAGAACGGTGGTATGATTTGTCAACTTCCACATCGTTGTCAATACAGTTGGTGTAAGTGCGAGAAATATGAGCGTGGGTATGATTCGCCTTACTTGCAAACCGCCTTTGTGGTCGCGTTTGGTCACTACTGATCGAAATGTTCTTAGTTTTAGTCCTTGCTGCAATGAGGCGTTTGTTATACAAAATGTTTGACCGTAGCCTAATCCTTTAATTTAAGGAAAGCGTGGCGTGATCTCATTGTCGCCTTCTTCCGGGGCCTGAGACATAGACAATTGGAATAACTCATATTGTATGCCACGCGCAAACTACTTTTTTTCTCTACTCACTCTCTCAGATGCATTAAACACAAACACATTTTCGGTCTGCGTGATTCACGATAGAAGATGACCAGCCGTGTGTAGTGTGTTTGATTTCAACTCCTTTGAGCCTTTAAATAATTCACGGAAAGACAGGACTTGATCATATTTTGCACCAAGGCTCAGCAGTTCGGCTTTTAGTGATATAACTTCCTCGTGAGCTGTGATGCCGTTTTGCGTAATAATAATAATAATAATGATAATAAATCAATTCTATCATCAGAGCGGACAGCCACTGCTTCTTGTTTTTTTGTTATCTTAGATGAGTCACTTTTCGTTTTATTGTTAGAATTGCTGCAGCAGATTGCTAGTTCCAGTTTTTTCTTCGTCCTAATTATGGAATCTCGCATTTTAACAGAGCTAACCGTCATTGTGGTGCGTACTCCTAACAGTTAGAACTGATGACAAGTCTAGTTACTAACGTTAAAAAAGGAATGAGCACGCAGGAAGTAGTTTGACTTTTGACAACAGTGGTAATGCGACAGAAACCTACCGTTCTAGTTCCTCTCAGTGATTGGTCGTGTTCAGCTTCGTCCTCTAACCTTTCAGATCCGAAGCGCGGTTGATCAATTCAACTATGGTAACTACATTAACAGCGACGATTGAATAGCTTTTGAAATTGGACTGTCTTCGTGTATTTGCAACACGTTTGGAGTTAGAGCGTGTTTCCGCTCTGGGCTTAAGACTATGTATGCATGGCCACAGTAAATCTGGCTGTCCTCTGCGGCAATACAACTTGTTTCAAGTACCCTCAGACCCTCGTTACCTGCAGACCCATTGCTTTTCTCAGTTGACACCATCACATCCGCAACGATGAGATGCACAGACCAGTATTTGGTGTTGAGTATCAAGTTATGTTGCTTGATCAGCAAATCAGGCCGAATAACTTCTGCTGACTTAGGGAACTTCTAGGTAAAGATATTCCTGAGTTAGCAGGAACAGTTTTGTCTACTCGGGTTTGTACGTTGGGAGGATATAGGTATGACAACTATATTGTGTTGTTCACCCTCCTATCCTATCAGGCCGCGGTCCATACGCGATCCAATCCGTACTTGGCTCGACACATTAGGCTGTGTGGCTCTCGACCAGCATCGGTGTTATCGTTTCGATCACATGCTATCCGGTTTCCTGTTTCTGATGTTTACCGTGCAATAATTTTTTACCATATAAGGCAGATCATAGCATGGAGTATTGAAAGCCAAAAGGAAATTATCTCACCTTTACCCCGCTTTTTTGCGCGATAGCGTTATTTTTGATCTTACGCGATTGACAGCACGTAGGCACCTGATCTTGACTATTCGGACATTTAAGGTTTTGCTTTTGATCTCCCTTATACATGGTCATCATGGTTTTATGGCACTGAAGCACTAATACAGTGCACCTGCTTACTTCTTGATGCCGTTGTATGAGAAGAATGTCATGTATGCCATTCGGGCTGGTCCAGAGAATCATTCTTTCCTTGTTCTTCGTGTTCACTTACACTCGCTATAATGGAACTTCCCACCCAGCTTTCCTTTGTGGTTGATGTGAACCTGCAGAAAAGGACTGCTTTAACTTCAGCGCCACTCCAATAATACATGTGTTATCCGACCCAAATGTATGACTCCTTGTTGTCGTTAGTGACTATGAAGTTATCCCTGAATTACGTACTTCTGCGCATTTTCGTGTTTTTAGCATATTGATTCTTATCGGAGCATTTTCTCTAGACTAACCTAACAAAGCTAGCGAAAACTCTTGTTTGTATTACCTGTCGTCTAAGCCTGTTAATGGCACCGTCCTCAAAGAGGTCCTCACACTTCTTACCTCGCACCTACAGACAAATATCTCTTTTATACATTATCTACCTATTTATAGCTTGAGGCATTATACACAGCTGTAGTATCTTCTGCTCAACCAAACTTGTCCCAACATACTGGTGGAAAAGTCACTTGTAGTCACTGTGCCTAAGGCTTACTAGAGTAGAACTTCGCCTTCTAACATAAGACATCTACGCGGCAAAACGGCTTTTTTGAAGAACATTTTATCGTTGCAACTGCTGTGAGACTCGAGTACACAACTCCCTGTCCCATGTCGGCCGGTGGCCAAAAGAATTGCACGCCTGGCTTGCCATCCTTAGGTCATCGATTCGAATCCGCCTTGCGGCAGGCGTCCTCGCGGTATACTCAGCCCATGCGTGACTGACGGTGGTCGTGCGGCAGCGAAGCGTCGGTACAGTGTACCGGTGTACTGCTGATGACTTAAACTTCATGTGTTGTTCCACAGACCAACGGCATCCTTGTTCCTTCCACTCTCTAACCTATCTTGTTCAGACTCCTCACGTCTGGTAGCCACTAACCAAGATGAGTGACGCTTGAGAGAGCAATCACCGTTTGCTTTCAGTGCTCATCAAACTGCGTTTAGACTACAGTGCGTTTCATACCATGCGTGCTATTGCTCGCGTCGTTGAAGTTGGTAGCCTTCACATCACCTTGTTTTGACCTTATTGGGACGATGTAACATCCCTCGCCACAAATAAACCAACGATGCATGTATTGACTCCCGCGTTCGCCTCACAGTTCGGTGCAGTTGTTCGTTCCGTTTAGTTTTGCTGTCCTCACTTGTACTGTTTGCAGTTTTCGCCATTGCTTGTATGCCCCACATTCACGCCCTCTCCTTTTATGTCATGTGCCCGGGTTTTTTTTCAGATTTTTGCGCATTTCCAAAGTCACTCTGTGGAGGCTGTCCCAGACAAGGTAGGTTCCCGTGTCCGCCTACTTCTGACCCATCTTTTTCGCAGTCGCAGACTCACAGCAGGCCGATTCGAATCAGACCGCCCGGTTGTAAAACGGTTGATGCGAAACAACTTCGGTTGGACAAATTTCTTAAATGACACACACGAGATGCCAATCAGACTCTATTTTTTCAACTTCTGTCATATTTTTGAGAATACAGCAAGTTTTATTCTTTTCCATCTCCCTGAATTTTCTATATACTTGTTCGTATCGGGCGATCTCATAGACTCCAACGTTCCTATCTATGTTGACACATTTCCCAGTCTTCTCGATCGTATTTTCTTTACGAAATTATAGCACAAACTGGAAGTCAATTAGAATGATCCATTCTTCAACCTAGAACACGCTTGTACTACGAATAGGTTCGCAGCTTTGATTAACTTTTATTGGTTTGTCCTTTTTGACTGTGAGTTATTTGTTCGCTTTGTCGGCTTATGTTGTGAACCATGGCTCCGGTAGGCATTCGGCATAGCCCCCATATCACCACGCATATCCACTTCGGTTGAAAGTTCGCAGAGCAATTCCTTTGTCTCCCAGATTGCAGTCGTTTACTCTTGTGCTTGTTGCGTAACCGGTAACGTTTCAATGTCAACTTGCTACGCTACGCACGTGCACAACCTGCGCCTGCCGGTGTGCTGACGTCCGGTCGCTACAGGAACCCAGTGACGACCCTACATGGACTTTGTATCTGGTCGCCTCACCGCTGTGTGTGACCTTGTGGCAACGAAGAGCGAGTGAAATGTTGCACTGTATCCTCCTTGTCTTGCGCTGGAGAGGACGTTCATATCTGAATCTTCTTTTATTTATCTGACCCAGAGGCTACTGCCGATTCCTCAACGCACTCACGTATGTACTGTGTAAAGCAGATCGAACTGCTTTGCCTTGCGCAAACGGTGGTATCCGGAATATTGTTTTTGGTTATTCACCTAATTGACTTCTAAGTCGACGGTCTACCGCCGTCACTCGTGGCCTTGTGGCATAAGGCGCTGGCGTAAATAGGTCGCGCGTTCGGTTCCTAGTACGGATCCTGAGGGGATGCACACTATTGATGAGTGCCAGTTGGACGTAGCGGCCGTCTAGATCTTTTTCGGGCAGTGGGAAATTGTGGCGTTATGTACCATCCTGGCGAACACAGATTATACTAGATTGATGTGACGCAATACGTCGTTTAGTGTTTTTTCCTATTATCGAATTACTGGTAGACACAGCGTGTACGGGGAGTTACACGGCTGGAACATGCGAAGAGAGAAGGAATTTCGACGGCATTACACCTGGCTAAACAGCGTGGCCAACTTTTGATGATGACATCTCAGTTTGATACTATGATTGAATAAGCGTCCTCTCTGTCATCGTACGCAGAAATCATACGCAGCTTGCGTGCAGCCTTCATGCATCCATCATTGATCAATTATCTCGAACGTCCATCTCCTGATGGACCTGGAATTAAGTTTCCACCGGTATTTTCGATGGCTTTCTTTAGGTTCAGCCAATTCACCATAGTCACTCCCAATCAGTAGGCTTAGGCTAGTCTGGAGAAGTACCAGACGCCGGCGCTTCGACCTTCTGGGTCTCGTCAGTGGTACACATCCCAGTGGACTCTTGCCAGGTTCCGTCCCCATGACTTCAGAATGCCAGTAGCTAGTGCCACTTCGCCATGACTGACAGCCGCGCACCTGCCTGATTGACAGTTGACTATGATATAGCCCGACTCATCTTTCACTGCCATGCCGCTGTATTGTTTGCAGTTATCGGTATCGATTTTTCCGTAAATCTTGAATTCAAGTCGCCAGATTGGCTTAATCGATCGCATCAAGTTAGGATTTGGGTGTCATTTTACATGTCCTGCTTTTCGCACCTCGAGTGCGGCTATGAGCCACGCGAACCCTCTCCCCTTTCTCCTCTGACGGACACGACCAGCTACCGGACTTCGTCTGTCACTACAGTAATTCACCATAACTCCGCGAGCTGTTAATAAGGGAGTAGCCTGCCGAGATGTCTCGCTCCCAGACCAACTGCTTGTCGCAAGAGCGGGATTCGAACACATGTTTCGGTCCTTCATCATCAGGCCGTCCATCAGTTCACTGCGTCCCCTCTTCAGTTGGTTCCAAACTAGGTCGTTGATTCTGGCGACCGTGTGATGACTATCGCCGTTAGGATACCAGACCGTCTAGATCCCACACTTAGTTTGTCTCACCGTAAGTTTCATGTGTAAGAAAGTTCTTAGCAAAATTGACTTGATTCGAGCACAAAACCAAATACTTATGGCTATGGCGAACCTCGCTTAGACGGTCCAATTTCTGCGCATGCTGTTTGGTCTTACAAATGTCGCGCATAAGTTCAAACTCCTCATTGATCAAGTCCGTCTGGCTTCATGACTGACAGCTCGATTTGTAAAGCACCGCTGCACTCCGTCCGAACACTTCGTAATCGGTTATCCCAACACGAGTGATGAACAACGCTAGAAAATGGTCACCCCTCCTCCTGTAGGCATTGATCAACCGAAGGACTGCATCAAAGTAATCATCGACTATTATTAGTCCAAGTAGATCCGGCGTGTCACTAGTCTCATTAACTTCCACTATCAATTTATAGCAAACTGCACATCAGTGATGCCCCTGCTATACCCGTTTCCCTCGAAAAGAGGTTTGGAAACTCGAATTTCCTGATCTGTTTGTACTACTGTTAATGACCTGTAAAGGTCCTCCAAAGCTCACCGATGACTAGCGTCTCAGACGTCGCTATTGCGTATGTGACACATGGTGGCTCTTGGCTTTTTCCTCTAATCTCTTGCAATTCATTGAATCTCCATACAGCACATTCATTAAGAAACTGCAGTCGGTCTTCAGGGCACCAACTTGACACGTCCTAGATGACCATTCCTTCTCCGACTTCACCGACGCTAAACCACCGAGGTGAGTTCTAGGCTCCACACCTTACCGATGCTGTTTCAGATGTTCACAACACGAAACTATCGCTTACTTTGAGGTCCATACAGTGCTGTCATCCGGGAGTCCACCGTCCTAACTACTACTCCACTCCGATTGGATAGTACATCTAGTGGTTGGCTAAGTATATGTACGTGTTCATTTGTCCATCCCCACCTCACTTGCAAACGTGAGTAACACTGTCGTTCCGGAGTTCGCTTACACCCTATCCTTTTTCCCTCTATTTTACAGGCCCGATAGAATAAACTTTCTGGATGCACTCGCTTACTTAGACATGCTTATGTGTCCACTCTGTGCCGGTACTTTTGTGTACCTAGCTACTGTTGCTGTTGTACAGTGTACTGGCCCCAAGTAGAGCTGTAACTCCTACCCTCTACAGTAGGTATAATACACAACACCTTCGGATGCGACATTGCATGGTTCACCTCACTTAATCATCCTACACGAAATGTTGTACGCCACATTATCTACCACAGGTGATTGTTCGTGCGATACTTAAGCGAACAGTCACGTGATTTCGTTGGCGCAATATGCACCAGTATGTCTTTGTTTGGGTTGCTACTTGTATTCCGCACATCTACACGAATGTGCAAAAAACAAGTCCATTAGGCGAATCCCCAACAACTACTGTACGTTTTTGTGTATGTTCGCCGCAGTTAGACAGGCAGACAGCCACCATACATCTGGAAAAGCGCTAGACGGCCGTTTCGTCTTATTGGGACTCGTCAGTAGCGCGCACCTGCTGAATCCTGCCGGGTTCTAACCCACGACGTTACTCTTACGAGTCAGCGATGTTGTCTAGAACTAGGTCGTCAGCGTACTTACACGCAATGAAGTTAGGTGGAATTGGAAGCATTTTGCTCTATGAAGGGAATAGAAGGGGTAGGATTACTCACTTTAAAACGCCCCAGTTATCACGAAGACTCGAGGATTTTTCACCGTTCATCTTAGTGAAACGAAAGCGATCTCAATTCAATGCACCTGGAAGGGTGAATATTCGACTGTTACACACGCCTTCAGCAATGTAAAATGTATTTAACTTAAAACATCGGATGCACAATTAAGTCATAAACATCAATGTGGACACCATGCGAACTTGCTTGTAACTTTCAGAGCAGCTGAAGTCTTGTCGCGCCATATATGGAATTACAAATTTGTAGGAAACAATTATGCACTTGATACATTTGTTATACAGCCAGTGGGTGTACCGTAAAAGCGTGACTTGTTTTGGTATTTTGAAGCAAGCCATTTTAATGAACTGCTAGGAGTAGACATAAGAATGTCAACACTACTCCTCTTCGGAATGCCACTACATCGAGGCGATTGCGTCAATGACATATCTAGGATTTTGAAATGATTCCTTCTAAAGGTGCAGGTGGTGATACATCGCGGTACTAAGTAGTGAGGGCAGAGGAGGTTCACAAACGAGCAGTGCAGAAAGCCTCCTTACGTTTGTGAAAGCAGCAATTGAGCAAGGAAAATCACGACTGAATGTGACATTCAGACACTTCCCTGGCACAATGGGGTGCAACTTCGGTATCTATGTGAAGTCCAGAGCATTCCATGAGAAGTTGCTGATAACGAGGGTCTTTGTGTTTCGGAAAAACGAATGTCGCTGCATCCTGCACTGGTTACCGCTCATTTGTTTTCCTTTATTGTCTATTCATTCATCCTGCTTTGTCTTGGCCTCCATACGCTACAATTAAACATTTCGGCTATTTAGTTCACTGTTTCTCTGATGGAACCACAAATGTGACCCAGACTATTTTCACTCCACTTCACCTCATCTTGGCCCTCACCATCTCTTAACTTTTATCAGACTTGAACGTTTGCCATCCGCTAATGACAATGGTCGGCCGGTGACCGAGTGGTATGCACGTTTGCTTTGCAACCATAAGGTCACCGGTTCGAATCCGCGTAGGGGTGGGCGCCCTCGCGGTATACTCAGCCCGCGCGCGACTGATGGTGGTTGCGCGTCAGCGAAGCGCCGTTACAGCGTACAGCTGACACATTATTATTATTATTCTTCTTCTTAATGACAACACTGGCAGATTGGTAGAATAAGAAGCCAGATCCCTTATCAGACACTATTGTCATCTGGCTCTTCACAATTTCATATCCATTTAACTTGGCGTGAAAATTAACCGCGTGTCAGAGTGACCCCTGTCATCTTGGATAGCCGACCTTCCTAGACTTTTGACCACCACTTCACCTTACCTTGGCCGTTTCCACGA